GCACTTTATGGCTGCAGTATGCCTTGACGCATCCGAAATCAGACCAAATCAACATAAAGCATAGCTCATAATAATGTTTATAACCAAAGCCATTTTTACCTTGTCCAGGTCTGAATTCAAACGCCGCAACCTTAACCTATGTTATTACCCAGGTTCGAATTTGCACGCATTCTAGTATAATCTGTTATCCATTGACGTCGTTATCAGTTTTATTCCAGCGAAGCCAATGATGGATATGATAGAGTGGGGCTACTGTGTTATTTGCAACTTCCCTACTTCTACTTCGCCGTTCAGAGGTTATGTCAACTGTTAACATGTCAACTCTCGCAATCACGGGTTCGAACGATATGTCCAAGCGAACAATCACGCAGAAAGACTAAAAAAAATAATCTCAAATTTCGCTTTACTTGTTAACTGCCTGTAATACACAATTCATCTTTATAGTCTTTCATTATTTTTGATTTCCGGGACAGGAGCGTTCGAAGGCCTTGCTAACGATATCGTACTATGGTGCTCTACTAATCAGTATGCCCCAAGGGCACGATATCAAAATGAAACATTGCCTACTTCTGCTGATACTATGATTACCCCATACTATAAGCGTCATGTCTTCTAAAGAAAATTTCCACGGTATGCAGGCTTTCCTCGGAACAGTCCATTCTCTGTCCAAAAAGTCTACGCCTTCTTACCAAAAAGCAGAACATACTTCAGGATGGAGAGAGTACTTTGATGAACTCTTTAATCCCGATCAACTGCAGAAAGATTTATCTGAAGATCAAAAGGCAAAAATGGTAGTCTATCAATAAACGAACTCAAAGAAGCTGTAAAAATCTTCAAAAGTGGAAAGGCTGCTGGAATCGCTGAAATCTGCTATGAAATGCCTAAAGCTTTTTGGGAAAAATGGAGGTTGTTACTAACACTTGTCTGTCAAACTGCAATAACTACGGGAAAAACACCAGCGGGCTGGAGAACGGGGATTATTGTACTACCCCTGTTCAAGGAGGGAGACCACAAAGGATGTTACAATTATCTGGGCATTACGTTATTGAGCCTCCCAGGTAGAATCTACGCAAAGGTGCTAGAAAGGAAGAGCCGCGAAACAACTGACTCCAAGGAGAACAGTGTGGCTTCTA